TAAAACTTACGGCACCTGTGGCAGCTGGGAAAAACACTCCAAAAACGGTGAAGAAGGACTCCCCCTGGCTGTAGTCTGGCAGCGTGTTGTTGAACATAAGCTCTTCGGAGTAGCCGACGAAGCCATGCTCTGCGAAGACACAGAGGGCGAGAGGAGAACCTCAGAAACCACAGGGACTGCAGAAGACCCTCCAGCCTGCTCTTGGTGACCACCCATCCTCTAAACATGTGCAACAGCAGCGGCTGTTTCCAGGGATAGTTTGAGAGGATGAATGTCAACTTATTTGGGTGGGGGAAGAAGGCAGAGAAGAGGTCAGTGTGGTTACAAGGGTGCAAATGCCAGGGAAAGGTGCAGCGGTACACACCAGCACGTCGAGAGGCACCACCAGGCTGGGCGGCTCTCGCCAAGCCAGAACACGGATTGTATCGAGTGCTGTCTGCAAGCAAGATATCTTCCTGTAAAACCTGTCCATGGAGGAAAATTGGCTGCAGGAATCAGCTAATATTTATACTTATTTATCCATGCCACTTTAATTCTCTTTCCAAATAGAGCAAAATTATGCTTCCATAAGACAACTGCATCCCTGAGCAAGCCCTCACACCATATCCCAATTCTGTGTTTCTGCCAGCAAGCTCCTGCACAGACAAGATCTGAGATGTGCCCATGCTGTGAAGCTGCTACCAACACACCCAGGTCATACACTGGTTGTCAATGAGCCCAGAGTCAATAAACCCAGTTTGTTGCAGGCTGGACCTGCCCTACAAGACGGGTTTCCCAGTGGAGAAGGAATAAGTTACTCTAAAACTGCCCACTGCTCTCTGATGCCACCATGTGCACTTACCTTCCTAATGCCATTGCTCTCCTGTTGCTGTGTTACCTCTAAACCAGGGCTAAACATGAGGCTCTGCATCATGCCCAGCTGCCCCCCTCCCAAATCTTCTGTAGATGTTTATCACTTGCCCAACAAGGAGCAAATGCCGAGACCTTGGGCTGTGCCCCGCTCCCCACGCTGACTTCTGCTGAGTTTTTCCAAGGTCATGCACACACAAGTTTTACTTTCCAAACAAAAAGTTTTATAGAAGATGGGAGAGAGGGGAAAGTAATGGGCAGGGTATCAACACCACGCAACTGGTCTGCTGGGTATGTAATGGAGGATCCTGCTCCCTCACTTCACATTGGAAGGACAGGTCAAATTCTTCCACAAAATCGGATTTGTTAGGAATAGTTGAGCCCAACTGCTGACATGCTGACAGGGCATTTCTTAGGAAAGGTTTTAGATTCCTATAGGCAGAAAAGATAAGTCATGAAAAGCAGGTTAATGAATTAACGCTGTGTCTATGAAATGAATAATTTCATTTTCAACAGGCAAGACTGCTTTTTAATGGAGTATCTTCATCTGTGGAAACTTCTCCTCCCTGTCAGTAATCCAAATGCTTGTGCCAGCTGGGGTGGGAGGTGAGCAAAGTCGGTTCCTTTTTTCCTCCTGCCACTACAATCTATTTCCACAAGACATGTGACTGCAATAACGAATTTTCTCATTAGCAGGCAGGATGTTGTTTATGGCTGCACAGGGTGATGGCCAGAAATTAAAAAAAGACTCCATGAAAGCTGTCCCATGCCTCAAAGACAACACTAATGACATTTGGACAATAGATTAAACCGGAAAATTAAATCAGAGCTCTGAACGCAAGACATATCCATTTAAAGTCTCAGAATATAACTAACCACAGAGCTTTGAAGTTGCCACAGAAAAATCCTATAGATAATCAAAAGTTTCCTACTACATCTGCATTCATTGTGTTGCCCAAACATGGATAGAAACACACTGATAGAAAAGGTCTCCTGCTGCTAGGCTTTTTAAAAGCACCAGCTATCTTCACTAGGAACAAGTCCCAGACAAGATTTAAAGAGAATAAGCTCAGCGCAGCACACTGACCTCTGGACCCCATCGATGTCTGCAGAAAGCACAGCTTCTGGAGAAATAAAGGAGGGATTTGCATAGGCTGTACGTTCCTGTAAGACCAGACCTGAGCTCCTTCAACGGGAATTCGTGCCCACGACGGCACAGCACGCAGGCTGGCTGCAAAACTCCCACCAAACTGCTCGAGGAAAATTTTGGTCCCTGGCCAAGGACTTTTTCACAAAGTATATGCTCCTTATAGAAACGTTAATGTTTCATTGGTAAAACAAAAACGAGTAGGCAAAATAGCCATCTCACCCCAAGGAGATCTGCAGACCTTCTCCAACCTGTGCTTTGCAGCTGCAGCATCAAATATATCTATGTCACTCTTGACGAAAGTTTGCCCCACTGATTGTTAAACATCTCCTTCAAAGCAGACTCTAGCCTCTCTTGATGGTTTACTCTCATATTTTCCTGTCTTTATCATTTCGGTTTCTCTTCTAACCCTGTTAGAAGCTCATGATGCTATTTCTTGCCTGATCCATAAGTTATTTTTTAATAGCATCCTTCCACCTACTGGAAACAGTCCCCATCCTGCACCGGCACAGTTGACAGTTTCTGCCAGTCTGTAAAACTTTATGTTTGTCTTCCTCAAACCACCAGTTGTCCTTTTCACACCACTCCCCCAGCTTGTACAAGGTCATCTGGAAGCCTGACCCTCTCAGCCAGGCCACTGCGAGCCCTTCCCAGCTAGGGGTCAACTGCAAATTCAATCTGCATATTCTCTTTTCCATCATCCAAGCAGTTAAGGAAAATACCAAATAACACCAAACCAAACCAGACCCTTGCAGAACCTCACCAGAAACAGCCTCCTGCTTTGCAAATGAACCATCTTCAACTGGGGTCTTCCAACCATGTTTTGGAGCTATGTAATTCAACGATGGGCTGATCCAGGCACTTTGGGCACCTCATGTCTTCTTTCTCATACAAAAGGCCAAGTACACAACCAGACTACGTTTCCTGTGATACCATTTTGACCATACCATGGCCAAAGAGAGACCATGAGACCCATGAGTCCAACGGCTGACCTGCACCTGCGTATATCTGACCCCTACTAATTTTAAGAAGCTAAACAATCCCTCGTGCTCCATCCATTCGTCTGCTGTTCCCTTTCCTACTTTATTCCCCTAAGTGTGAATCCTGGGTGGAAGCGACAAAGCCCAGAACGATGGCAGATGTTACTGGAACCACAGAAAATGACAGCCGTGGATTTGTTGAAAGAGCCACAGGATGCGCCTAAAACTCCATCCCACTTCTGCTTCCTTTCCTCACGGCGCTGGCGGGCGAGAGGAAGCCCAGCCATTCCACATTTCCCCTTTACACAGAACCAGGAGCTTTCTTGTCTAATTAAAGAAAAGTTCATCCAAATGTTACTTGTTATTGCAACCTCATTTCTCAGTCAATCACTCTCCTGTGAAGCAAATCTCACATCCCTTTTGATCAGTTTTATGCCAGGATTTGCAATCACCATCAATTTAAGCAAGCTATCGGCACGCGACTGCAGAGCTGAGAGCAACTCGCTGCGAGCATCTCCTGGCTGCCCTCGTGCCTGTGACCGGAGCAAGTCATCTGTGACCTTTCAGCTGTCATATTAATGGGACTAATTGTAGCTGACGGGGCAATTGGGCTGAAAATCATCCAAAACAAAACAGGAATCAGCAACTGAGACCAATCGGTTAAACCAACAGAGCACTCGCTCGGTTGTTCACAGAGTCAATTATCCACATCCCATTGAAAGTGCACTTCAAAAGAACGAGCTTCGGAAGGAGGAGGGAAGGAAACACAACAGGTCTATATTTGGCTCTCCGATCTCCAAACAAGGCAAGATCATTTTATTCTTTTTTTTTTTTTTTGTAAGAGGATCTTTTCCTCCAGCTAAGTGTTGGGTACATGAGATCCAAGCCAGATTCCTCCCTCCTCACTCATTACAAAATGTTTGACAAATTTTGCTCTCAATTAATTTATGCAACCCCATAGCCTCTAAATCCTGCCTTTAACGATCCTGCTCTCAGTTGGCTTGCAGAGGGCTGGAGCTGAAGTGCTATAAACAATCTTCCCAGTGTCATGCTAGAAGGAAAAGAATCTGGTTCCTTCTCTGTGCCATGTCAGCCTTATGGGAAATGCACAATAAAGAGCAGTAACAATTTATTTTCATCATTAGATACTCAGTAAGAAGCAGAAAAATAATGGATGTCTCAAGTGGTTGAGCTGAAGTAAATAAGCAACAGGGGAAAAAATTGACTTAGAGCAACATCTGAATTATTTCTGTGATTTCTGACAAATTAAATCCTTCCAGTTGCCCTTATTAAAATGATGTAATAAACAACAAAAACCACCTAGCAAGTTTCAAATGGAAGAGCTTCCAGGACGAGCATCCTCCATTCACACGCGAAGAGGGACCACAAGGGGCTGCACGTCAGCCTGATGCAGGTGGAGGAAGACGAGGACGAAGGTGGCCAGGATTCTCATGTCCCCTTGCTCACCACAGATGCCTGAGAGGGGGTACCAGCCTTCACCTGGTTGCCTTCGCTGCATCCCTCCTACACCCCAGCTGGTTTCCACATTTGAGCTTTTCTTGCCACACTCTCTCACCGCTTGCCCCATGGAGGAGGGTGAAAGCAGCTGAGGCGGTTTTTGGCACTTGGGACCCACCTTAGCAGGGCAGCCCTTCCATGAAGCCCGGGGTTTCAGGACTTGTGGAGGTTGGAGAAGGGGTGCGAGGTGAAGATGTGGTTATGCAGGGTCAGGCCATTATGCAACAGCACAGAGAATGACGGCGCTGCCAAATTCCAGGCAACCTGGAGCTCATTACAGATTAGTCAAGTCTTGGCCAAATTCAATAAGCCTGTTCACAAGCTTAAGGTTAAGTAAACCCTGGCACCGAGGCAGGGGCTAAATAATGCAAAAATGGAAAACCACCTTAAGAAACAGCTCCCAGAAGATGGTCACGTATTGTGCTCTGCTTGTGATTAGAGATTTTAATTATGAAGGTGAATGCTGAAGGCTCGAAGTAGTGAGATTTTTTCCTTTTCCTAAATAAGTAAGCCCACACGTTCCTGCCTGGAAGGTACTTGCTGAGATTTGCTTTCAGAGGAACAGCTGGAAGTGTTTGTCTTGCAGCCCATTTCCCAGGTCTGACCCCAGCGTTTTCAGGATCCTGTGTGATGTA